TCATTATGTATTAAAAAATATACGTTTTTTTTTTTGTTTTTATATTCTTACATTCTGAGCTATGCTCAAAATTTCAAGTCTTTAGCTCATAGGGAAGTTAGCTTAAAATCAATTAATAAATACGACCCGAACAGACATAGGAAAGCTAATTAATAAAAACGTGGCAAAATACATAATAAAATGTTGAAGCTGGCCGGCCGATAGTTTATTCGATTGATTTCTTTATCCTCCATGTGCGGATTAAATTTTACCGATTATAGTGGATATTAACCGACTTAAAAAAGAAAGAGAGTTTTATATTCGACGAATTTTCAGAAACAGCTGAACCGGTGAAATTATTGTTTTTTATTGAATAGGCTATAATAACTTAATGTTGTCTCGGGTATGTGGTATTCGAAACAAATTTACATTATATAAAACCCAAGCATACTTTTTTAATACTTTTTAATATTTACGTGGTAGAACCATGCTTAAGCTATATTACTGGTATAGTTGTAGCACGAATGGGTTGGTTCGACCGGGGAAGTTCCACGCTCTCACAGACTACCAGTGTCTTGTAGCAGCTTAATGATGCTGTGTTTCGTATAGTGAGTCTAAAGAACCGGATACCCTTTTTACTTGAAACGAGGCATTCCATATTGGTCCTTACGGGTGTCAACACATCTGTAATCGAGGATAGATGTAGATGTCTATGGGCCACAGCAACCACTTACCATCAGGTGGACTGTGTGGATGTTTGCCACCATTATCCTATAAAAATTGTCTTGTTTCTTCTCTTCTTTACTTCTAATCTTTATTTAGAGCCGAAATAACAGCATTACACTCGAAATGATATTTTCTATCGAGACCAACAGGAACTATGTTAGAAATTACGTTGTGTTAGAAATTTCATTATGAAAGAATAAAATTTATATGTCGCATGACAAATCTGAGATTTCAGTATGCGATCTGACAGACTTCAATAAAGTGTACTTGAAACTTCAAATGGTAAGTGATGCAAACGCCTAGAACTTTCATTTTTAAATGACGGGCTGCAGCGGTTCTCCCTTCATGTAGTAACAGTGATGGTGGGACGCCTGCTAAATGACAAAACATAGCATTTATTCACGTTAAAATAAGGTCTATTTTGCCGGTTCCAATTCATGACTTCATACGTATACAGCAGCAGTATAGCACGGTCACTTCTTCTTTCGAGAACCAATTTAAGTCATCAGCAAATAAATTGCTTCTTTGATCGCCTCTGGTAAGTCGTCTGTCATAATGATAAAATGGATGGGACGCAAATTACTTCCTTGACTGAGTCTTGATTTCAGGGTTGACAAAACAACTGCTTTTTGATTCTTATTTAAGTATTAGTTATGTTATTAAGTTATTATAGTTTTTTTAGTAGTTAGACAATATTATATTTGTAGGTATCTATGGAAACAGCACCAGGTGGTCTGTGCGCTTTCTGGTCACACTTCTAAAAAAATATTATTCAGTGTCATTATACTTCATTAGGTGGTTAGAATCCTTTTCTGTTTATGAGTCCGTCCACTGTTATACCACGCCCTCTGTAGTCAAACAGCATCTGTGTTCCGTTCTGAAAGACATATAGAGCCAGTACAATAACAGGCTGTTAGATATTCCCTCTTAGTATTCAGATGTGACAACGCATCTAAATAATTCCTTATTTTCCACTTACCGTCAATTCGACTGTAAATTCATTTGTCACTTTAATTTTACAAATAAATCTTTAACTCACTCATATGTGTGGTAGAGGCACGTCATAGCATAAACAAAGCACGTAGGCGTACATAATTTGTATAATAAATTCTCTCAATGCTTGTCACGGATGTACACGTTGCAATTCAATGAAGTAAATATGCGCAGCATCGTATTAAATAGAAATAATCTTTGAGCAAACGTAGCGCTAATTAATGTTGCAAGTTGCAATAGTGAATTGAATTCATTTTTTTTTATAGGAGATTGGTAAGTGCCTACCGCCGCTCATGAACAATTGCAACATCATGGGAATTGCAGATGTGTGCCCGGTCTTTTAAAACAAGTAGGCTCTTTTCTTGAAGGTCCCTAAGTCGTATCGGTGCAAAAAATTACTGGTTGTAATCGATTCCACAAGGAGGTTGTGCTAGGAAGAAAAGTTCTTCATCCAAATGGTATGGATCGTATTGCCAAATTTGTCGCGATGTGTGCTGGTGAAATTGAGCGGCTGGAATAAGTACGAACAATTCATCAGAGCACTCCCCGTGGTACATGCGATAAAATACGCAAAGAGATGCAACATCACTACGCAGTGCAAGTGAGTCAAGCCGATCGGAAAGAACTCGGTCGTCGTCGATTCGAACCGACCTACGCTGGATGCAGTTAAATAGAAGGAGGAGGCACTGGGGAGCCTCTACACAGAGATAGAAATAGAATTCCATGTGGGGCCGAACTTACGCCTTGTAAAGTTGCAAGCGGTGTGTCGGCATGAAATACTGTCCCGCTCTGATGAGCACGCCAAGCTTTTAGAGGCCAATTTGGCCTTCTATTCCTAGGGACCACGAAACTGTGATCACTCTATATGTCGAAACCGAAGATTCCGATACTGGCTGAGGCAACAAGGGGAGTGCCTTGAAACTAAATAGATACGACAAAGGCGTTCTTTTTAGTGGTAAACGGTAAACGCGCATACTTGTGGCTTCTGGGGTTTTAATTGGACTAGATTCAGCTGCCCCCAGTCCGAGACTTTGTTCAACAAAGTCTCGACTTCAGACAAAAGTTCGTTCCAGTACTCAGCTACGTTTTCCCGAGACATATTGGTACGGCCAGTTTATAAATCATCACCAGTACTGTCATCTACATAGCAATGATTGTTATCAGTGCAACATCATCTGACACTATTAACATTTACAATTATACAGTCAATATAATGTTAATTGTATGTTGTGGCCCATAAACAATTACATTTATCCTCAATCCAAGATAAAAATATATAAAATTAGCTCCACTGAGCAGTGGCATTGATTTACGACCATGAGGGTCGCGGGTTCGAATCCCGCACGGAACAAGTATCTGTATGGCCTACAAATAATTGTTCCGGGTCTGGTTGTTTGTCCTTGAGCAATTTATGTATGTAAACTACCTCTACAATACAGAAAAAGATATATAGTGTTAGGGTAGCTTTTTCTTCAACTGTACCAATGCGTTACTCACCCATAAGGAGTAGGATATAATGAATCGTTGCTAGTAAAAAGGTATCCAGTTCTCGTCACTTGCAATAGAAAACAGCAGCATTACGTTGCTTTTTCACGTTATTATTTTGTGCTTGAAAAGTAATTGCTTCATTTACCATCGTCTTGGGGTATTCTTACCATGTTTCATTTAGTAACATTCTTGTTTGTCTGTCTGTCTGTCTGTCGTTCCGGGTGTAATTTAGTAATTTATTTTAAACTAACTTCCTGATGAGCCGCAAACTTGAAATTTTGAATAATTCTCAAATTCGGATGACTATGCAAGAATATGATAAAAAACGTGGTGTTTTAAAGAAAATACAAATTGTCCTCGTTTACTTAGTCATTATAGTGGTCAAACCGCGAACTCAATATGCTGATAGTAACAAGAAGGCCTCTTCTATGTTCACGTATTATGACGGGCAACTTCGGAACCCTACATTGGACGTGGTCCGATACGCAGTTGGCCGGTTTTTAATTTGTAACATAGGTAGATATAGATGTATTTAAGCCGAACCTTAAAATTATTAGCAAATAAGCAGTAATTATAACTTGCTCAAAAAATTAAAAAAGCACATATTAAGTTTGTTGACCATTTTTAGCCTATGTTCACATATTCCTTATATCAACAAGAAAATAAAACACTTTGCTTGCCAATCCATCTACCAGGTGTGTCAATTATGTCAAATATTGCTGCTATAAGGCATTTCCTATCTATGGGGAGGTCTATGTTTTGCAGTAGAATTTTGATAGCCTGTAACGGTAAATAGACTTCTAAGGTTGGAAAAATAGGGAATGAAAATTTTAATGTAACTGTGTAGACGACATTCTAGTTGACCTTGAGCTTGTGATATTTCTAAGTCCACTTAAAAGAGTCAAAAATAAAATTTTTTATTAAAAGTTAATACCGACTTTGAAGAACTTAAAGTAATAAAAATTTCCTCAAAATAATAACGTTTTTGTGGATAACACTAATTGGGTTTTTCAAGTTCAATAACTTATTTAAAAGAAATTAATTATAAGAAGCCATTATTATGATTTCTTATGTTTACGCGAACACTACACATTTAAATAATACTGGATTTTACGGATCTTTTCGCGTATATTGTCTTATATTATGTTCCCGACACTTCAAGTAATTTACAGCACCCATGGTCACGGAGGGGACTTAGGTGTTCAAGGTCTCAATATCACAGTTAAATACGGCTACCTCCAGATTAATATCATGATTAAATTTTATAATTTCAATTAAAAGTATATCTCATTTAGAAAAAAATTCGAATAAATATTTTTTGGTTTACAATTATACAGAAATAAAGTTCTAATTTTTCTCTACCTCTTAAAAATTACAACTTATAAAACACCAGTTTACAAAAATTTTCCTATATTCCACACAGTTTTTTTTTTTAATTTAAAGTGGTTGTTGATGATTGCACTAATTGCCCAAAGACCACTATTATGGATCTACAACGTGGTCTACGCAGTTCACTTTGTCTAAGCAACGACTTCACAAGAATGAATAATTGAACTAAACTAAATTACTGCATTAAATAAAACGACATACGCGTGATGTAAAACTGGTGACCTTTAACTCAGGTTTTTATTATAAAACCTATAATCGGTTCCAGTCTCTCACAACGTCCTTACAATATTGTTACTGTAAACTAGTCAGCTGTAAATAAATTGAGTTGAATTGAATTAATTTTAAATCCTAGATTTTTTTTTAAGTTCGATTATTGTGAATAAATATAAATATTAGAAATTAAAGTGCATTATCAATATTGTCAGCAGGTCATGTTGCTTGCGATTTGGTCGGCGGTCATATTGGCTGCCGTGGCGCTCTACTTCCGTCAGGTGTACACCAGGTTTAGCAGATATGGAGTCAAGCATTTCAAGCCGATACCAATTCTTGGTAACATGGCTCGCATTTTATTACGCATGAGCCATTTCTCTGATGATACGCAAATACTTTATAATGCTTATCCTGAAGAGAGGTAATATATACTGATATTAATACTAATACTTATAATGTTTTATGTATATACATATTTAGCCTGTGTCCATCTAGAATAATTTACCTTTTTAAGGGTGAAAGAATATTATAAATGGCTGCAGTGGTTCCGGCGATTACCCTTCACATATGCACAAATTCACAATTATTCAATTCATTTCAATTCATTCTCTCTCTATCTCTCTCTCTCTCTCTCTCACTCTATATATATATATATATATATATATATATATATATATATATATATATATATATATATATATATATATATATATATATATATTATGTATAAAACTTATGAAGATATTCGTCAACTACGAGTATCGTAAAAAGTCATGTCTCTTGAGAGCTTTCATAGCATGCGAGTCAATTGTTAATTATGTAATTAACTATACCAATGTTAAAAACTCGCTGCCCGCTGTACAATAAAATGAAGAAATGACGCACCACCGTAAAGCCCGTAAGTGCGACAGAGATCGCAATAGGTGCCGTCCTGTTTTCTCATTTTATTGCACCGCGGGCAGCGAGTGTTTAACATTAGTAGAGTGATAGGCCTGATTTGGTCTTGAAAAGTCCGCCTAGGTCTACCCCTTCCAACACTTTCATTTACACTCGCCTTATACACTTTTTTCGTCAATCGTTCTTCATTCATTCTCTCGACATGGCCAAACCATCTCAGCATACCTTTCTCTATTTTCGTCACTACATCTTTCAGACCACAACTTTTCCTTATCTCACTATTTCTTATCCTGTCACTCAGTTTAACTCCTATCATTTGTCAGCTCTGAAGATAACGAATCTTCGTGTCTTCTTTTTATAAGTTGGTTATAGGTATCTATTCTTAAGTAGGTACATTTATCACATCAATTTCATAAAAAAGAACTTTATACATATTTTTGACTGTATGCATTTATACCATAACATTGCCTAGTGATGAAAGTATCTGAAAATTGCATCGCATTTTCGGTATTAAAAACCTGTGATATGATGAAGTAGGCTACCTTATATAATATCGCAAAATATTTACATCGGAAACGGATACGCAAGTATAAGTGTTTGCAAATATTACGTGGGGTAATCCTCAGGAGATATGCTCTCGGGAATCAGGCAGGAAGTACCTCCTCATACCAAATAAAACTCCAGGGTGGTAACCCCCAACGTCAACGAGGAGTCACAGGTTTTCCATACGCTCAACTACTCATCCCAAGTACTGCTGTATTGTGAACTTATCCCGTTTTAGGGAAGATTACCAACCCCAAACTCCACGAATCTAATATGATGATTCGAGACCACATCAAATCATCGTCCTTCTGTAAGTGTACGTACAAAATGTCAAAGAAGCATTTAGGCCTTTTTGATGTTGAGTAGATGTCGTTGCTTGTAGACCTATGTCTTTTCTCGATTATAAATAAAAGATGCTACATCATTCGTGAGGACCAAGATTGCCAGAAAAATAGGTATCCAGATCTTGTCACCTTGAATAAGGAACACTATATTTATTGCAACTTATCACCAATCGACCTGCCAGTTATGGCTAATTTACCACACTTTTTCAATTATAAGAAAGTTTACAGTACAGTAGACAGTTTACACCTCATAGAGAATAAAAAAAGCAGAAAAAATATTTGACTTTATCATTATTTATAGCAATTTCGTTTTTCTCTCTCCTAGGTTTGTAGGAAGATTTGAATTTCTGAATCCTATGGTGATGATCAGGGACATAGAACTTATAAAGAAGATAACGGTGAAGGATTTCGAACACTTTCTAGATCATCGTTCTTTTGTTAACGAGAATGTTGATCCTTTCTTTGGACGAAATCTGTTCTCATTGAAAGGTATCGTAATTATAAAAGAATAATCAATTGTTATTTAGAATTACTTATTGACCATTTATCATTTGAATTTTTTAATCCTATGGTGATGATCAGGGACATAGAACTTATAAAGAAGATAACGGTGAAGGATTTCGACCACTTTCTAGACCATCGTTCTTTTGTTGATGACAATGTTGATCCTTTCTTTCGACGAAATCTGTTCTCATTGAAAGGTATCGTCATTATAAAAGAATAATCAATTGTTATTTAGAATTACTTATTGACCATTGATCATAATATTAGTACTCGTATGATCTATCATAAGCAATTACTATATCTGGATATTCTGTTTATTATTAATGAAATAATTTTAAATTTTTACTTTTAGTAGTGCTCGAAATAACGTGTGAATCTCCTATATTTTGAGTAATGGATATTCAAAAAACCAAACTCGAAATGTATCACAACGTTTTGTTTGCGACCGTTTTAAATTGATTGAACAGAGACATTTAAGTGTTTAACAATAGCCTTAGAGTAATAACTTACTTTTTACTTACTTTGAAAAATTGGCAGTATAAACATAAACAATGTAACGTAAGTTATTTGAATTTAAAAGTATTTGTAACAAATATCATACATATATTTTATCTTTCTGCACTCCTTGTCAATTTTAACTTTAGCTATGCCAAATCTCACTCCTTTGTCCGCGCAATTTGCTTAAAAAGGGTACAAAGTTTTCTTTTCACGTATTAGTATATAGAAGATAGATTACAGCTATCAGGTAAATGTAAATTTATTTGTATTAGGCGATGAATGGAAAGATATGCGATCGACACTAAGCCCTGCATTCACGAGCTCTAAGATGCGTTCTATGGTTCCATTTATGGTGGAAGTTGGGGAGCAAATGATAAAGTCACTTAAGAAAGAGATTCAGAATTCTTCAGGTAAGTGATAATCACATTTTTAGTTATTATAAGCCGTCGTGATAACGGTCTTACCTGATGGCAGCCCTAGATGTTTTACCACTGTATCAGCGTGATAAAAGTATTTTTCGAAGACTCACACGCTGCAAACTAAGATAGATGCTGGAGACAGTTCCTCACTTTGCTATTTACATTTTTTAAATAAATAAAGTGATAATCGAACTTATAGTCCACGTGATGGTAACCGCCTACTGCGGCCATGGACACTTGCAATCAAATTTTTACTAAGAATACTGGCAGTTGAAAATTAAATTTTCGTCTCTAAGAAACATATAGAAAATCAATGGTTGCAGGTAGCTGTGAGTTAGGAATACACTATATAGCAATTTTTGGTGTACAGCAGGGCATTTATCATCAAATTCTAATGCAGAACGTAGGTTTATCTCAAAGTCATCACTGCAGATAATGTAGATGATGAATTTCATAATAACATTTTGTGCCAAAATATAAAAAAAACAAGCTCTCATAACCTATCACCCAGAAGGGTAGACAAATACTACGGATTCCCATAATACAAAAGCATGGAAGACCCCTCTCACTTTTGTGTATGTATGTAGCTGGTGGTGAAAATATGACACGCAAGATGGCAGTTGTATTTTCATTTACGACACTTACTGTTTTTGGGCAAATACTAAAATAAACTTAAAATCTCGTTGAAAAAACTAAATGACAGCGTTTTCTAAGTCACATTAAACAAAGTTAGTGTTAGATTGTCGAAAACAACGTTCGCGATTTACAATACACTGAACTAGTCGTCCTGTCTGCTTGCATTTGACTAAAGAACTTCCACAGGATTGACCGTAACTTAGTGCGCAACGTATTAAGGCCACAGAGCCCGTCTGGTAGTACATAAAGCAGTATTTGCATTATTAAATATCATAGAAACAGAAACAGAAACAGAAACTTTTTTATTCAATATAGATTATAAATAATACTTATTGAAAGTCACTCTTTTGTTTGATTACCACTGGTTCGGAAAAAACCTCTGTCCTGGGAAGAACCAGCAAGAAACCCAGCGGGACTTTTTTTTAAATAATAGCTTACAATCATGATGTTACACAAATTAACAACACAACAAATTAGAAATAGCTTGGTAGCGATTACCTCATTTCCAAGGGTTAATTATAATATTAAATTCCTTAATATTATAATAACCCTTTTTATACAAACTTAGTTTAATAAAGTTTTTGAACTTTTAGCAGGTCAAACTTTGTATATTTTCTGGAATTTTGTTGTAAAAGCGTATATATCGCCCCAAGAATGAATTACTGACTCGATGGAGTCGAGTAACTGGTACTACTAGCTTGTGTCTGTTCCTAGTATTTACAGAATGAATATCACTTGTTTTTGTAAAACTACTTTTATTTTTGTGTACGTGCATTACCTTTTCATAAATGTATTGAGAGGCCAAAGTTAATAACCACATTTGCTGGTAGTAGTTTATCCAGCCTACCGAGATACTATATTTTAATTTCAAATACTTTTACTAATCAGTTTTATTCACAGGTATGGTACGTTTTCTTACATTTTGGCAGCACTTCAAAATTCTTTAGATCTAATGCACTAGCATTTTTGTAATAACTATCTGCCTTAATTTATCCTAATTATTGCGAAGCTAAACGCATAATTGTCACCTTCACACTAAATAACAACAACTAATACATTTTTATTTAACAGGTGAATATATTGACGTGGAGGGTAAGGATCTGACGACGAGATATGCAAACGATGTCATCGCTTCCTGTGCTTTTGGACTGAAAGTAGACTCACATAGCGATAAAAGCAACATATTCTATAAGATGGGCAAAATTGCTGCAACCTTCAATTTCAAGCAGTTGCTAAAAGTTTTCGCGATGACTTCTTTTCCTACTGTAACTAAGGTAAGAGTTTAATAGGGTATTTTTTACCATGTAAAAAGATACGTGTTTATGATACGTTTAGTAAAAAGTAAAGGAGAACTTTTGATTTCTATTCATAGAAACGCAATATAAATTTTATATTTCACTTTCAAAAATATTTTTTAATCTGTGCCTCAAATATTAAAACGCTATCCGCCATATAAGATTCCATCGTGACGTCACTAAGACAGTAAACAAACTAATGTGCTGTGTGTTATTTCGAATTTTTTGAAGTTACCATCATGATTGTTGACTTTTATTCCGTATTTAATTGAAATGACATCATGGAAGGCAGATTCGTAAATATAATTTATACTTAAATTAAAGTGATCTTCACACAAGTATACTTCAGTTTTGTAGACAACGTCTTCGGATCTCTTCTTGCCAATTTTATCTAATTATAATAACATCATATTTATAATAATATCACAATATCAATCATTATAATAATGTCATATTTAAATCAGTTGGCACTTGAATCCGTTACTTCCCCGGAGTTCTTATGTTCGTATTTTTACATTCATATAAAACACACCAATGATAATATGATAACTTATTATTAAATATCCAAAAATATCTCATTCCTTTGCAAAATAATTTTATTTACCAGCGCAGTGTCGTCACAAACTGAACAGCATGGCGGCTGGCGTTTTCACGCCAACATTTAAAACGATAAATTAAAAGTATTTTTTATGGCACTATTCGGTTTTAAAATAAAAATTACATAAAATTATAGTGGTTCATTATCACTCTAGAATTAAATTAAACACTATTTGAAAATTTGTGTAATATCCTATTGTTACTATTAAAAACAAAGCCAGTAGCAGATATTATACCTAAAGCTAACAACTAGTAAATTGGGAGGTTTGAAAGGCCATCACGATTTGATCTTACAATGCCACGCTGAAGACATATTATGTTTTACACGTGGTAGAGCCATGTTGCAGCTATATTAGTAGTAGTTGTACACGAATGGGTCGGCTCGACCGGGGAAGGACCACGATCTCACAGAATTCCAGCGTAAAATAGCAGCTTCACACTGCTGAGTTTCATATAGTGAGTGTAGAGAACCGGAGACCCTTTTTACTGGAAAAGAGGCATTCTGTCTTAGTCCTTACGGGTGACAACGCATCTACATTTTAATTCTTTATTGAGGATAGATGTAGATGTCTATGGGTCACAGAAACCACTTACCATCAGGTGGACTATTTGCTCGTTTGTCACCCTATCCTATATAAAAAAAATGTTTGTAGCACGAATAGGCTACGATGGCTATCCGAGTACAGAACCAGAGTACGAAACCTATCCAATTGCAGAGAGGTGTAAGACAGGGTGACGTCATATCTCCGAAACTCTTCACCGCTGCATTGGAAGACGTTTTCAAGCTTCTGGACTGGAAAGGATACGGTATCAACATCAATGGCGAGTACATCACTCACCTTCGATTTGCCGACGATATAGTCCTTATCGCAGAATCGCTGGAGGACCTAAGCACTATGCTCAATGACCTCAATAGTGTTTCCCAACGGATAGGTCTTAAGATGAACATGGACAAAACTAAGATCATGTTTAATGTCCATGTCACACCTATGCCGATAGTTGTTGGGAACACTAAGCTCGAAGTTGTTGACGAGTATGTTTACCTGGGACAAATAGTCCGACTGGGTAAGTCCAACTTCGACCGAGAGGTCAATCGACGGATTCAACTCGGCTGGGCAGCGTTCGGGAAGCTACGACACATCTTCTCGTCAGACATACCTCAAAACCTTAAAACGAAATTGTACAACCAGTGCGTGTTGCCAGTGATGACTTACGGAACTGAGACGTGGTCCTTCACTGCTGGCCGTATGAGGAAGCTCAAGGTCGCTCAGCGAGCTATGGAGAGGGCTATGCTCGGAGTTTCTCTGCGTGATAAACTTAGGAATGAGGATATCCGCAGTAGAACCAGAGTGACCGACATAGCCCAACGGATTAGTAAGCTGAAGTGGCAGTGGGCCGGCCATATAGCTCGAAGAACCGACAACCGATGGGGAAGAAAGGTTCTCGAGTGGCAGCCTCGTACCGGTAGGCGAAGTGTAGGGCGTCCCCCCACGAGATGGAGTGACGACCTGGTAAGACATGCAGAAAGTCGATGGATGCAGGTGGCTCAGGACCGTGTTTTGTGGCATTCTTTGGGGGAGGCCTATGTTCAGCAGTGGACTTGTGAAGGGCTGTAATGATGATGATGATGATGACGAATAGGTATAACAACGCCCTCAAAAAATACCAGCGTATTCTGTAGATATAAGTGTAGAAAACTCGCGTGACAACGGCATTTGCATTTTATTCATAATTAAGCATAGATGTAGTTATCTATGGGCCATAGCATTTACTTACCTTCAGGTGGACTGCGTGCTCGTCTGTCTCCCATATCCTTTAAAAAAAAATCTCCGTGATAACTTCTGTGAGGCATTTTCATTGAAATATGTCAAAACTTTTAATCTGCTGCAGCTATATTAGTAGTATAGTTGTAGCACGAATGGGTCGGCTCGACCGGGGAAGGACTATGCTCTCACAGAATACCAGCGTTAAATAGCAGCTTAACGCTTCTGTGTTTCGTATTTTGAGTGTAGAAATCCGGAGACCTTTTTTACTGGAAAAGAGGCATTCCATCCATCGTCCTCACGGGTGACAACGCATCTGATTTTGATTCGCAAATAAGGATAGATGTAGATGTATATGGGTCACAGCAACCACTTACCATCAGGTGGACTGTGTGCTCGTTTGTCACACTATGCTATAAAAAAATTCTTTCAACTTCATCGCGACCGACAGTTAATTCTGCCCAAAAACCTTAATCCGACATTTCACATTCTATGTTACAATCAATCATCAATGCGAGAATATTTAGGTATCAATAATCAATAAATTATAAATAAAATACCAATGAAATTATTTATTTATTAAGAAAAAAGTTTTAATAAAAATTAAAGGAAAAGATGACAAAATAAAATTATGGGATTTTCACTTATAAATGCATTAATATAAAGAAATTTTTTTTTGATGAAATGCGAAGTCCATCAACATGCATTGGGGCAGGGTGGCAGACACTTCCTGGCGTTTAAATTCTCACAAAAATGAGGAAAGACCTGTGTGACAAACTGACAAAAAATAAAGGTTGAATATAATTTTACTTATTTCGTTCATAGATCCTGCGTTTCTCTCTGTTCGAAAAATCAGAGAAAGATTTTTTCTGGAACTTGGTGATGAATACAATGAACGAACGTGAAGCTAAGCAAATTGTCAGACCTGACATGATTCATCTTCTGATGGAGGCTAAGAAGGGTAAGTTTTTTTTTTATAAGTCGCCACTTATTAACAATATTTGAGTAGCGATTTAACTGCTGGTTTTTTTACTTATTATAAGTAAGTGGTGATGCAGCCTTAGATGTTAAAACGCACTGTCTTATCATAACAAAAGCCTATTCACTCTTGACTTGAAGACGCCCAGATTGTATTCGGACGGAACGATAGATGCCGACAAATTATTCCACTCCTTTGCTGTACGTATTGCAAAAGACGAAGCAAACCGATTGCTTCTAATGCGTGGAATATCGACAACAAAGAGATGAAGACCCACCGACCGTCTGGTTATCCTATAGTGGAAAGGAGAGGGAGGAATTAAAGCGTGTAATTCCTGCGCACACTCACCGAAATGCATCCTATAGAATACCGAGAAACTGGCTACTCTGCGCCTATGCTCGAGGTTGACAAGATTGGTTTCATCCAGACCAAGGTCATCAATGAGCCTCTTAGCACGTCTCTCTACTGAGTCCAATGCTGCTAGAGGCATTTTGCAGTACCAGTCCATATGTGCGCTTGACTTGCGCTTTATATAAGGTTAGAAGCTGCCCCGGCGTGAATTACCGCAGCACCCTTGCAAGGACACCAAGTTTCGTTGCGGCTGCTTTGGCACTGGACTCAATGAACCACCCATAGTTTAGGTTTGGAGAAAATTCAATGCCTAACAACTGAAGGCGGTCAGTGTACTCCAAGGATACATTCCGGAAAGTAGGAAGGTGAGCGAGCTCCTTTTAGGGGTAAAAAGACACGTTTGTGTTTTGGAGGTTTTAAATCTCACGAGATTAGCATCGCCCCATTCGGAAACTGCATGTAGTGTGAAACCTACACGCTCAAATATAGCTTCTTTTTCTGACTGGATTAGATCCCGACTGGCCTGGGCGCTTGGTTGATATTATTCCATGACATCCCATATGATAGATGAAAAGTTTTAAAAATACATTGAGTTTAACAATTGATATGTTCAAAGATCATCGTGTTTACGCCGCCATGCAGACTTGATAATTCCACATGATAAGCTACTAAAACCCCTTTTTTATGTAAAAATAGTAATTAATCAATTAAAAAAATATTAATAAATTCAACAGTCATTTATCTTTCTGACATCATTTACATAATTTATGTGTATAATATGATTGCTAGATACGATTTCATGCGACAAAACGTTGGAGTCTTAATTTTTAGGCCCTAGCAGAACAAACCAGCGCGCTTCGCGCTTTAGGCATGCAATAGGAACTACGGTTGTCTGAAATATACTACTTTATAAATCATAAGTCTGAAGTAAATACATTTAAAAAATGAGTCAATTCTTATTCTCCCCTGTATTTTTCCACTACTTTCTGTCAGAATAGATGTTTTGCCATCATTTAATTCTTAGAGCAAGTATCGAGGTAGTCTCATCACTTGTTACTTGGTTATTCTCGACTTCATTTTTTTCCTTTGTGTTCCAATATTTACAGTGTATACTGAATAATTTATTAAATTTTATTTCAAGGTCGATTAACTCATGAAGACAAAAGTGCTATCGACACCAATGCTGGATTCGCAACTGTCGAAGAATCTTCTGTGGGAAAGAAGAACATAGATCGTGGTAAGTATTGTCATCTCTGAGACAATGCTTGATTTTAATTAATGTTTCTTTTTTCAAAGTAAAATTTAACACCCTTATACACAAAAGCCTCTCCCTTCTAGAGCCCTATCTTCTTTTTTATCTGCCTGGAGCAGAAAAGTAATGTGTAGACATTTCTACATACAATAGTATTTACTCCTCAAATATAAGTAATTGTAAATCACAATATTGCTATTTACTTCCTTCTAAACATAAAAATTGTATAATTCATAAAAAAGAGCCTTGGTAGCTCAGATGGTTAGCACTCACAGTAAATTTCACAGTAATTACAATAATAACGGTCGTGTTATTTTGGATTTGTTTACCAACACAGGCCGGTCAGCCTCATACAATATACGGATCGGTCGAGCGACTATTTCGATTCTGTATCCTAGTTGTCGCTGTCACCATGTGATACTGTTATAATATATATAGGTATGTGTGATATTGTTATTTTTTTTTTGTTTGAATTGTTATTTGTGAGGTTCGTAGTGACAGACGATTGTTTTTGAGTGCGCAGGTAGACCATTTTGATCGAGAAAAAAAGGTTATGGCTACTATCCTTCAGTCCGCTAGTGTTTCGTATTGCTCTCTGCTAGAAATTTACTATATTTTATTATTCTTTTACTAATTTTGAATGTCTAATCTTTTAGTGTGGACTGACAGCGATATAGTGGCTCAGGCAGTGTTGTTCTTTATTGCCGGTTTTGAAACCATTTCTTCTGCTATGTCGTTCGCGCTTCACGAAATAGCTATGCACCCTGAAGTCCAGCAACGTCTGTACGAAGAGATCAAGGAAGACAACGAAAAGAACCGTGGATCTTTAAATTACAATTCCATACAGAATCTGAACTATTTGGACATGGTTGTGTCAGGTATATTCAAATATTTTTACTTGTTTTCTACATACTTTTTTAATACCACTTCCAATTAGCTTTAAACGCTTGTGTTAGAAGTGGCTCGCGACAGTAATCTAAGGTAGTAGGTTAGTATTAGGATCGTTTTATAACTCTTAAAAATTCTTATTACTATCCTGGGCAAGGTTGAAGCCCAATTGCTTTACTTTGGTACTTTACACATACATATTTCAAAAACCTTTTTTTTATAGGATAATGGTGACAAACGAGCATACAGTCCACCTGATGGTAAGTGATTGCTGCGGCCCATAGACATCTACATCTATCCTCGTTTGCGAATCAAAATGCAGATGCATTGTCACCTGTGAGGACTAAGATGGAATGCCTCATTTCCAGTAAAAAGGGCCTCAGGCCACCTGCACTCACCAAGCGAAACGCAGAGATACACCTCTACGTCACGCTGGTATTCTGTGAGGTCGTGGTACCACCCCGGTTCGAGCCGGCCCATCCGTGCGACCTTATCATTTAATGATAAATATGTTCCTGCTGTTTATGTATTTTTATGTGTATTTATGAATAACTCATTTCTGAAATATTATTTTTCCGTAAGAATACCCACTACCACGTATCTTCCCGTGGGTGCGGTAAGAGGCGATTGAGGGAGAATGAGGCGGAAGATGGGCAGCAGCATATAACTGATAACAGCAAAACAACAATAAAAAAACTGCGGTTGCTAACCCGCTCGCGAAGAGTAACAACTATGGCTATATGGGGTATACTGCCATAGTTGTCACGAAACTTTGGCCATGATAAAAGTTGCGAAGAGAGAGCCCCCAGTCCTCGGCAGCCCCGCTATTCCTGGCTACAGTCGTGACCATGGTTACGGTGGGGCAGGGGTGCTAAGAATCTCTGGCGGAGATTCGGTTGTATTCTAAGACGACTCGACCTCGCAAGATATAACAAACGCAACCTGAAGACTGACGAGAAGTTCCTGGAGCTGGAAGAAGCGATAGACAAGTTGCGCTGGAATATAATAGGATTATCCGAGGTCCGAAGAGAGGGGGAAAGCATAGTAATCCTCGAATTCGGTAACTTGTTCTATCACGGGGGGGGGGGGGGGGGGGGGGCGACTATCTGTCCCACTGAGGTGTTGGATTTATCGCCCACGAGTCTCTCGTTAACAACGATGTAAAGATTGAGAGTGTGTCGACGGAAGTATAGTAAGCTGAAGTGGCAATGGGCTGGCAATATAGCTCGAATAACCGACAATCGATGGGGGGAAAAGGTTCTGGAGTGGCGACCTCGTACTGGCGGACGTAGTGTAGGGCGTCCCCCCACTAGTCGATGGATGCAGGTGGCTCAGGATCGTGCTTTGTGGCATTCCGTCGGGGAGGCCAATGTTCAGCAGTGGATTTGTGAAGGGCTGTAATGATGATGATGATGATATCGACGAAGGTTGCGAAGAGTTTACCTTATATTCAGAAACACCAAACGGTATTCGCTGAAGGTCATACAGGTTTACGCTCCAAACTCGTTACATCCCGATAAGGAGGTGGAGGACATGTATGAGGGTATCTCTCTAGAGAAATGCATTCCTCCAAAACCTACTATACGTTGTGAATGAGGAGACTTCAACGCAAAACTAGGCAAAAGAGAGAACGGTGAGTTAAAGGCAGGGAAATCCGGAATAGGGCAATGGAACCCAAGAGGCCAGCTGCTGGCTAACTTCATGGAGAAAGAGGGACTCTATATGATGAACTCTTTCTTCCAGAAGCGGCCCCACAAGAAGTGGGCCTGATCGAGCCCCGTCGGTACGACAAAAATGAGATTGACTTGATTATGACTAGCTAATGACAATTTTTCAGTGATGTCTCAGTGATCGCGAGGGTGAAAACCGGTAGCGATCACCAAATAGTGAGAGACACTTTATCTGAACGTTAAGTTAGAGAGGTCACGTCTTATGAAGTCAACGCTCCGTCCCCTCGGTCTCTCATCCGAAACTTTTCAGCTCAAGCTACAAAACCATTTTCAGTGTCTACAAAATTGCAATGCAGTGGACGATATGAATGACAAGTTCGTGGAAACTGTCCATGCGGTCAGAGCTAAGCTTTGCAAGACTCGCCGAAGAAGAATACAAAAACTCTACAATCACACACCTAATCTCATGGCTGTTAATCGGGAAATGAAGCTGCAGTCTTTAGCAGATTTGACAGTGTACAGTGTGTATTGGAGAAGCGATCAAGTGCAACCAGGGCTCCAAATTATATGCTAGAGATCTATCTGCTAGAAAGAGTCAACTGTCGAAAGTGAAGAACGAGTGTGGCAGCATCGTTTCCGGGACACCTGAGATTTTGAGGGGAATTGAGAAGTTCTATGGGCAGTTGTACAAATCAACGTTGGAGCCACACGCAACTGTAAGTAATGATGCAAGATCAAGTCTTATCCGACCCTATTCCGATGATATTCTGACGACAGTCTGAGCGAGATTATAATGGCTCTCTAGGACCTTAAAACGGTAAGGCCCCAGGCGAGGGTGGGATTACAGCCGCATTTCTAAAAGCAGGTGGAAAACCAGTACTTAAAATCTTTCAGAAGCTTTTTAATTCCGTCCTCTATGGTGTCACGGCCTAGAGGCATGGAGCAGATGTGTGGTGGTCTTGTTCTTTAAGAAAGGCGACAACGCTCTATTGAAAAACTTTTTTCGCTCTATTGAAATTTTTTTTTATCGAGAGTCATTAAGAATCTTCTCGCACGCAGACTCGACGGCTTCCAGCCTCCCGAACCAGCCAGTTTATGAAAAGGTTTTAGCACTATATACCACATATATTCCCTTCGGGAAATTGTACATAAGTTCGAGGAATATAATTTGCTACTACGTCTGATATATGTAGACTGTGAAGCTTTTGATTCCGTCCAAATTTGGGCGGTACTACAGCCCCTTCAGCGGTGCCAAGTTGACTGTCGGTATATCGAAGTGCTGTAGAGTTTATACATTAGAGCTACGATAGATTTCCGAGTACAGAACCAGAGTACGAAACCTATCCAACTGCAGAGAGGTGTAAGACAGGGTGACGTTATATCCCCGAGTCTCTTCACCGCTGCAATGTAATACGTTTTCAAGCTACTGGACTGGAAATAATACGATATTTCCATCAACAGCGAGTACATCACTCATCTTCGATGATTTTCCGACGATATAGCCTAAGACCATATAGTATCTCCCAACGGATACGTCTTAATATGAACATGGACAAAACAAAGATCATGTATAACGCCCATGTCACATCTATGCCGGTAGTTGTTTGGAGCACTAAGCTCGAAGTTGTTGACGAGTATGTTTACCTGGGACTAATAGTCCGAGTAGGTAAGTCCAACTTCGAGCGAGAGGTCAATCGACGGATTCAACTCGGCTGGGCAGTGTTTGGGAAATTACGGCATATATTTTCGTCAGGTATACCTCAAAACTTGAAAACTAGACTTAACAAACAGTGCGTGTTGCCAGTGATGACCTATGGAACTCAAACGTGTTTCTTCACTTCTGGCCATATGAAGAAGCCCAAGGTTGCTCTAAGAGCTATAAAGAGGGCTTTGCTCGGGGTTTCTCTGCCTGATAAACTTAGAAATGAGGATATCCGCAGTAGAACCAGAATAACCCACATAGCCCAACGGATTAGTAAGCTGTAGTGGCAATTAGCTGACCATATAGCTCGAAAAACTGACAACCGGGGGAAAAAAAGGTTCTCGAGTGGCGGCCTTTTACCGGCGGACGAATTGTAGCGCGTGCCCCCCACTAGATTGAGTGACGACCTGGTAAGACATGCAGGAAGTCGATGGATGCAGGTGGCTTTCCTTGGGAGAGGCCTATATTCAGCAGTGGGCTTGTGAAGGGCTGAAATGATGATAATAGTGATGATGAAATATTATTTTATCGTCTTGCCTGTTATTTCCGAATCGGTAGGCAGAGTTCAAAGGCAGTACACTACTCGGACAAGGTTTAACAAAACACTTGGTATAGATGGAGTGTGAAATTAGTGATAGGTAGTTAGGTTAGCTCATCGCCTACACAATCATTATACCAATACCCCATATAATATATTTTACATAAATCGTAAGCAATTATGATGATATTTTTGAAATTAAGTAAATAATATAATGTACGTCGCTGGATACAAGAGGGCTCGTTCTTTTCGCGCCCAATGACTGGTATAGTCATTCATAGAGGAAACGACCCCAGCGTACTTGGCACTATATCAAGGGCAATAAACGACAAAAAAGTAAGCTCGAAAATTATCAACTTAGTTACAAGATAACTTTAATGTATTGTAGTTGTTGCAACTGAAATCGTATATTATTATGTTACATAAACAAATATACAACTTGAACAGTAGGAGGATAACTAACATAATAAATTATAGGTAAATCAAATTTTAATCGGAAATGGAGGATAGTGATATTGATTTATAACAATGATTCTGTGAACTTTTAGAGGTGCTTCGAATGTGGTCTCCAGCTGTTGCACTGGATAGACTTTGTACTAAAGATTATAACTTAGAAAAACCAAACAAACAAGCCACGCAAGATTATATAGTAAGTAACTGTATTGCAAGTTAAATGTATATTATACTACATGATTTCTTGTTAACGAGAAATTCGAATATTCTATTGAACCAGGTACAATATATTATGTCATAACAGTGAAATATTTTTTCAATCACATACCGCTTTAAGAAATAAACGTGAGCCACACAGAAAGTTGTGAAAATGGCAGAGGATTTATCTTAGGCTCGCACTAAATGGCTAACATAATTTTTTTTTAAATAATGACATAATTATTATTTGGTTATGTAATTTTATTTCGAATATGTAATTAAATTGAGCGCGATAGTTTTTACTAATTTTAACATATTATTTTTCAATTAAAAAATCAAAATAAATATGATAACAACCAGATTTGACTTAAATAAAAGATCTAAATCCATTATTGATTTAGAACAAATTTTGTTTAGGTTCGTAAAGGCGAATCGGTTATGATTCCCGTGTGGGCGATTCACCACGATCCCAAATACTACCCAGACCCGGAGAAATTCGATCCGGAGCGATTCTCCGAAGAGAACAAACACCTCATCAGACCATTTACTTATGTTCCATTTGGTCTTGGCCCTAGGAATTGTATAGGTGAGTGGTTTTTTTTTTCCTACTTTTTGAGGCTCTTAACTTTAGAGATATGCTGCGCCCATTGTGCCCTATCTAAGAGGCTTACATCTGAGGATTTGTGACTCAAAGCTCATGAAATATCCTAGCGAAAACTGGTGAAGGCTTCGACAGTATAGTCTGAGCCATGCCATGGGCATCCCCTTGGCAGTCCCTTCAGCGGTGCCAAGTTGACTGTCGGTATATCGAAGTGTTGAAGTGCTTGTACAGTAGGGCTACGATGGCTATCCGAGTACAGAACCAGAGTACGAAACCTATCCAATTGCAGAGAGGTGTAAGACAGGGTGACGTCATATCCCCGAAACTCTTCACCGCTGCATTGGAAGACGTTTTCAAGCTTCTGGACTGGAAAGGATACGGTATCAACATCAATGGCGAGTACATCACTCACCTTCGATTTGCCGACGATATAGTCCTTATGGCAGAATCGCTGGAGGACCTAAGCACTATGCTCAATGACCTCGATAGTGTTTCCCAACGGATAGGTCTTAAGATGAACATGGACAAAACAAAGATCATGTTCAATGTCCATGTCACACCTATGCCGGTAGTTGTTGGGAGCACTAAGCTTGAAGTTGTTGACGAGTATGTTTACCTGGGACAAATAGTCCGACTAGGTAAGTCCAACTTCGACCGAGAGGTCAATCGACGGATTCAACTCGGCTGGGCAGCGTTCGGGAAGCTACGACACATCTTCTCGTCAGATATACCTCAAAACCTGAAAACGAAATTGTACAACCAGTGCGTGTTGCCAGTGATGACTTATGGAACTGAGACGTGGTCCTTCACTGCTGGCCGTATGAGGAAGCTCAAGGTCGCTCAGCGAGCTATGGAGAGGGCTATGCTCGGAGTTTCTCTGCGTGATAAACTTAGGAATGAGGATATCCGCAGTAGAACCAGAGTAACCGACATAGCCCAACGGATTAGTAAGCTGAAGTGGCAGTGGGCCGGCCATATAGCTCGAAGAACCGACAACCGATGGGGAAGAAAGGTTCTCGAGTGGCAGCCTCGTACCGGTAGGCGAAGTGTAGGGCGTCCCCCCACGAGATGGAGTGACGACCTGGTAAAACATGCAGGAAGTCGATGGATGCAGGTGGATCAGGACCGTGCTTTGTGGCATTCTTTGGGGGAGGCCTATGTTCAGCAGTGGACTTGTGAAGGGCTGTAATGATGATGATGAATTTATCGAGGAAGATAACCATGATTTCTAGTACTTGCCACGCCATGGGTCCTGTGGTCAAATACCAACCTAAGCCGACATCTATGCTGACAACTTCTGTTTTTCTTCTATGACGGTAGTGGATTTGTCTCAATCGGTACGAAAGACAGGCAAATTAACGAGTATAGTATCAGACGTAAAGTAACGTTGACTCTACTGCCCGGTTGTTGCTATATTGCAGAACTACTGGTTCAACTCGACCGGATAATGTTGTTGGGCTTCTTATGGCGATTGTAGAGAAATGGAGATCCTTTTTATTGGAAATGAGGCATTCCATCTTAGTCCTCAGGGGTGACAGCGCATCTGAATTTTTTTATTTTTAATCGAGGAGGAGAAATGTAGATGACTGTGGGCCACAGCATCGTCTTACTATCATGTGGACTGTGTGCTCGTTTATCACCCTTATTCCATAAAAAAGCGTATTTATCTAATACTCCTCATGCTGAATATTAAATACTAGTTTGATAGAAGTGTATTGTTTTTAATAGGTTCAAGATTTGCGTTATGCGAGGTGAAGATATTGCTGTACCAGCTTCTCCTACACATGGAGTTGTCTCCTTGCAAGAAGACCTGCATACCAGTGAAACTCTCCAACGATACTTTCAACCTTATCATACAAGGCGGTCACTGGTTTAAAATGCGATGTAGAACACAATAGAATAGATAAGAGTTAGATTTGTTTATATAGAGAACACTAAAAACTTGAAATATTAACTTAAACATAATAATGCGATGGAACTTATTATCCGGATTTTATAATGGGTTCTAAAATACACGATAATCTCTATAAAATAACTTAAAATATTTTTATTAAGCCATATAGTATGCAACCAATGACGTGGCAAATGAAATGGTCAGTAACTAAACACCTAGTTGCATTGAACACTCTTTTGAATTATATATAGAAATTTATGTAATTTTACGTATTAAAACAAGTGTCTGTTGGAAATATCGAAATAATTTTTCATTAATTTATCGATCACTTAAAAAAAATTCCAAGTTTTCAGATAAAAAATACACAGCATAAATCGCTGCTGGAATTGTTTTATATCTGTTTGTAAAGTTTTATCACAAGTTTTGTTTTCAAAGCGTGTAAATAACCCCTGTGCTGTATTGCAGTTATTTAAGTATTACAGATCGACAACTCAATTTTATTTATATGTATAAATTTCACAGCACGTTAACAATCTGAATTCAATCCCCACCAGAGCCTTTACATAAAATGATGTATATTTTGAACTTTGAAGTTAAATGCTTACTTTTTACACAACAGTTATAGTAAGAATATTGTATTTTGTAAATATACTGGTTTTAATAAAGATGTAAAAGTAATAGTAGTGTTGTTTTAAATAATTATCACATTGACTTTCTAGATGATTACTATAATATATGCCGTGGGACGTTTGTTTTGTTTGTTGACGTGGAGTTTTGTTTTGAAGGACGTAACTACCTTTTAAGGTGCATTGCAAAATTTTATTTTTAATTCAAGTAAATGATCTCTTAGATCGTAAAGAGGTAGTGGATTGGCCATTTTATTCACACACACATTTAACTATTACATTCGCTAATCACCCCTTCACTCATACATTGGTCACATCCCTACTTCCGATTGCAAGCTACCTCTTCAGTCTATGATCGATCTCCGCGTCGATAACGCGCCTGTGCGCTTGAGATCCGTAAAAATCCTTAAAATGAAACTAATTTTACGGATTTTATCGCGTATACTAACTTTAAAATAAGTTAATATACGCGATAAAATCCGTAAAATTAGTTTTATTTAAATGTGTAGTGTTCGCGTAAATATAAGAAATCATTGTCCTTAAAATGATTTTACCAAATTAGGAAGTGAATTATTTATGCGGGGATAGGATACTATCCCTGCATAAATAATTCACCACGCTAAAATAATTAACCCTTCGTGTACCAGGCGACTAAAAGTATCGTCCCTTTCTAGATGGGGTGTGACAAACCCCAAAATAAAAATGTGACAAAATTTACATATCTTTGGTTAGTTGCAGAATCAAATATTAGATATTTATAAATACACAATAATAATCAGGTTTAAGTAAAAGTCAGAGTAGAAACTATGCATTAAAATATGTATTATTATAAAAGAACAAAAAAAACACAACTTCTGTAATTTATGTAACTTAACGGCCATTTTCTTATGTACTAATTTAAAATAGCACCTAATTATCACTATCATTTAAATTTTACGAACTGCAATGTATTTTCTAATAATTAAACATAAATTGAACATAGGAAAGATAAATTTGAATTGAGCATCATCGGTGTTCAATTGACCACGGTCTTGACAAAAAAAATCAGTATGCTCCATACATATTGACATGTAACGTTTTTTACATGAGTATTTTGTTTCACGATCTTTGTTTCTAGAGCAACTTAAGCATCTTTTTTGAGCACTACACCTACTTGCTGGGCGTTCTGTTGAATTTTCTGGCGAATCATCAAAATGTTTAGCGATTCTATGGCGTAGGTCCCTTAGAAGCGTTTGATTGTACCTTCTGGAGTTTAAGTAGCATTTTATTTAATAAATACCACCGGACAAATGAATAATAATGTTTTCAGCTCTACAACAAACATTGCTCGTGCATGGTTCTTTTTGCCACTTCGATGTATTATCTTTGACAATATAATACCTTTGTCTAGACGGGTGAAACTCTGAAAGTGGTACATCGTCATCACTGTCAAAATCTGAAGAAAGTATTTCCGCATCAACCTCGCTGTTTGTGTCACTCTAAATACACAAATGTTCAGATTCACCTTCAGATTCCGGTCCTGAACCTCCAGATTCTAATTTAAAGACATCTCCTTCGTCTAAAAATGCTTGTAATATATCAACATCCTTGATTTGAACTATTATCCGTAACGAATTAAAATCCATGTAAAATGCACACATAAATAAGGAAATACATAACTTCAACATCGAATAAAAATCTAACCTCTTTATTAACGCGCCCTACGCGGTGGGACGTGTGACGCCCACACGCACTTTAATGGCGTGTAGCTCGCTTGGCGGTTGCCACTGGAGTGACTTAGGCACTGATCATAGCAGCAACGTCGCAATTCCAGGTACTGATAATTTGAACTTTGGCACATTCATAGTTTTAAAATTATTGAGAAATTTGAAGGACTGGGGTTTCTCAAACCCCACCTAGTGCACGGAGAGTTAAACTCGAAAGAATACAGTAACTGCAGTGGTAAGAACTGATAATTGTGTGGCACGTGCCCGCCATTTAAGTACATTTTGGTGGAAAATTGTAGTATCAGTGATCCAGACGCCTGACTACAGGTAGTCCTTTCTTTATCCCACATTTCCTTGGTCCTTTTACCACTGATACATTCAAATTAATTACTACATAAAATAACACATTCATTAACATAGGCTAACTGTGCTCCGCCGCCATCTTGTACTCCGCTTATATGTAATATCCATATCCATACTAATATACTAATACTAATAATATTATATTATAAATCCAAAAGTTTGTGTGTGTGTGTGTGTATGTTTGTTACCTCTGCACGCTCAAATGGCTTGACGGATTTGGTTAAAATTTGGTAAACAGATAGAATATAACCTGGAATAACATAAATAGGATACTTTTTACCACGGTAAAGAAGCTTATTCCCACGGGAAAACACGAAAACTTCATCTTCAGTTGAAACTGCTGAGTGGAAATGTAAAGAAATAGATAGAATAATACCTGGAATAACATAAATAGGCCAATTTTAACATGCTATACGTAGAAGAGCCATGCTGCAGCTATATTAGTAGTATAGTTGTAGCACAAATGGGTCGGCTCGACCGGGGAAGGACCCCGCTCTCACAGAGTTCCAGCGTAAAATAGCAGTTAAACACTGCTGTGTTTCGTATGGTGAGTGTAGAGAACCGGAGACTGTTTTTACTGGAAAGGAGGCATTCCATCTTTCATCAGAGACAGTCCTCACGGGTGACAACGCATCTGCATTTTGATTCGCAAACGAGGATAAATGTAGATGTCAACCACTTAACTCTACGCGGAATTGCCAAAATATTACACGTGGAATTCAACACGAAAGGAATGGAAGCATCGTGTGCTGGGCACCGTCGTCGAAGGCTGGCATGGTGTAAAATCCTCAGATGCCTTGGGCAGAACAAGCCCTCAAATCAGTCGACGGACAAGAAAAAGCCACGTTTCGGGAAGCGTGTGAGGCGATGAGACTTCCGAAAGATGACGGCCACTGGGACCATACCATGGAGGACGCCGTTTAGTGCCAGTCAGCGGCTAAGTTAAGAGAGCTCTTTGCCATCGTGTTGAGCACCTGCGGACTCTATAATCCTATGCAACTGTAGGAAAAATATAGTGTTACTTTATCGGAAGATATCGCACACAGGTACCAAGGGACACCATAAGCCAGTGAAAACATACCATAAGTCTTCTGGTAGAGCCGCGACCTTGCTAAGTGGAGGAAGAACTGCTCACTTAGTATTCAAGCTACCACTAAACCTCGCAAATGAGGAAACACGAACTTGCAATATAAGCAAGAGCAGTGGACGTGACACTCTATTGCAGAATTGCAAATTAATCGTGTGGGATGAGTGCACGATGTCACACAAACGTAAGATCTAGGCGCTTGATCGTAGCTTGCAAGATATCCGCGGAAACCACGTATTGATGGGTGGAGTAGTCCTGTTGCTTGCAGGTAATTTCCGGTAGACTTTACCGGTTATTTAGCGAGGTACTGCGGCAGATGAGATCAACGCGTGCTTCAAGGCTTCGCCATTGTGGGCAAAAGAAGAGAGAATGCATGTCACAACAAATATGACAGTACAGCTCTACAATGATCATTAGTCTGGTGTTTTTTGAAAATATAAAATATCGTAAATGAAGAATGGTTATCTGAAAGACCAACTATGGCGACTAAGAACGAATCGGTGGGAAAAATTAATAAAAAAATCCTTGATTTAATAGTAGTGTGAAAAAATTAATTGTATTTTTTATATGACTAAGGAAGCGCCGTGACTCATCAGTTTCACCAGAAAATAATGCCTTTAAAGGATCGACTGGCTCCTCTATTGTGGAAATGACTACCTTACCTCCTGAGCAACACATTCCCGCTGTTTCCTCTTTTCATTTCAGGGCTTCACAATATCTCCATGCTTGGTTCATTCGCTCAATTTTAATAAGCCTGTGATTACTGTAATCTGATTCGGGATCGTATTCGAAAGCACACTTTTCTAAAACTCCTCAGTTATTTCTGACTAATATTTGTCGACGTTCCGCTTGTCGTTGAGCAACAGCGAATCATCGCGCGTCCGCCTCTTCAGCAGTCTCAGAGGCACGCTGAGAATCCATATGCTGTGCATTTAATAGACGTTGTGTTGCCGACTCTTCAGCAGTTTCAGAGGCATGCTTAGAGGCCCGCTGAGAGGCCATTCTCTCTGCATTTGCTAGACGCCGTGTTGCCGACTCTTCAGCAGACAAATAAACAATCGGATTCTTACTATCAATTCCAAATCCCAAAACCAACCTGAAATCCCAAACCAAAATGAAAACAAAATGAGAAAACCATAACAATCGCCTAATCAGACAGAAAAAACTCAAGAAATACGAAATTCAAAAAGACGCAATAAACGAAAATTTTTTTCAAGTTTAATTGTACTAAAAATTTGAAATATTTATGCAAATGAGGAAAACATAACGATACCGCGTTGTAGAAACTAACAGTGCCCTCTAGTTTGCATGGCTAAAGTTTATCAACGCAATTTGCTGTCGGAAATATCGTATATATTTCCCGCGGAAGAACAATAACTTTTTCTAACTTTTGTGTTTTATAATGAAAATTAGATATTTTCCCGCTGTAAAAAATTTAAAATGTGTTCTTCCGGGTTATATTCTATCTGTTTTTTTTTATATTTCCGCTCAGCAGTTTCACCTGCTGCCGAAGTATTTATGTTTTCCCATGGTATTGAATATTTTACCGCGGTTAAAAGTAGCTTTGTCAATGTGTTTTCCGGGTCATATTCTATCTCTTTTTAATATTTACGCTCAGCAGTTTCACCTGAACTCGACGTTCTTTTCCAGTGGGAATGATTTATTTTACCGCGGTAAAAATTTGCCTATTTATGTTATTAGGGGTCATATTCTATCTGTTTCTTTACATTTCCAACCAGCAGTTTCAACTGAAGATGAAGTTTTCGTGTTTTCCCGTGGAAATAAGCTATTTTACTGCGGTAAAGTATCCTATGTGTTATTCCAGGTTATATTCTATTTGTGTACCAAATTTCATCCAAATCCGTCAAGCCGTTTGAGCGTGCAGAGGTAACAAACATACACACACACGCACACACGTATAAACTCTCGGATTCATAATATTAGTATGGATTAAAATTGTATAAAATTTCATCTATGATTGTTGCAATTTTCATTTTTGCATAAAGTTATGGTTAATAAATAGTCATATTTTAGTTAGCACGGTAGCAAGCGTATCACACTCGGCCTGCCCCATCACAATATAACAGAGCGTCAATTCTAACGCT